CTGACGCTGCGCACCCCTACGCACCCCTGCGCACCTCCACCACGCACCCCCGTGGTGTTCTGACGCTGCGCACCCCTACGCACCCCTGCGCACCTCCACCACGCACTCCCGCACACCCTCACCACGCACCCCCGCGGTGTTCTGACGCTGCACACCCCTACGCAGCCCTGTGCACCTCCACCACGCACCCCCTTGGTGTTCTGACGGTGCGCACCCCTACACTCCCCCACGCTTTTCGGACGCTGTGCACCCACCACGCACCCCCGCGCATCCCCACCATGCACCCCCGTGCTGTTCTGACGCTGCGTACCTCTACGCACCCCTGCCACCCATCCCCGCCACACAGCCCCACGCTGTTCTGACACTGTGCACCCCATGCACCCCCTTCCACCTCCACCACACTCCCCCGCGCACCCCTACTACACACCCCCTCCACACCCCCTTAGCTGTTCGCACGCTGTGCAACCCCAACACGCAGCCCCACGCTTTTCTGACGCTGCGCACCTCTATGCGCCCCCACCACGCATGACCGCGCACCCCCACCATGCATGCCCATCGCTGCTACAGCACCGAGCCCCCCTTCACATGGAAAGCCCTGAGACAGCCCGTGGGGCCCCATCTGGAACCCTAGTCTCTAGGAAACAGACGAGTCCTGTGGCTCTTGGCCTGGAAGAGGGGAAGGACCTCCCTTCTCTCCAGGCTCCTCATGTCACTGCCTCCCCTGGGACCAGAGCCCCGGTCCCCATGCCTTTGCTGGAGGAGGCCCAGGAGACATGGATTTTCGGAGGATGAAGGACGGGGGAGGCAGTGGCTCGGGTTGTCCTTGGGCTTCCCCTTAGCAGGGTTCAGGGAGGAAGCAGCAGGTGTGTAACCCGCCAGACCCCAACACCAACCCCACAGCTCAACAGCCTGCCCCCTCCTAGCCTCGGTTTCCCTATCTGCGAGCTGGGGGCAGGACCCCTCAGCCCGGTGCACGTCCTCGGTGACCCCCTTCTCATCTCTTGGGACTTCTGCTGCCCCCCGCCATGCGCAGGGACCTGAGGGTTTGACGCTCTGTCTGTGGGCTCCCCTCCAAGGCCCCCACACGCGGGACAGAAGTCGGAAGTCCTACCCCCATTGCACCCGTGAGACCCGCCGTTGGCCACAGAGGTCCCAGCCCTCACCTCCTGCACACTCTGCACCACAGCGGGGCCCACACTGGGTTGCAGGGCAGCACCGGCGGGGCCCCCAGCCATCTCTCCGCACCTGAGGCATCTGTCCCGAGCCCACGTTCTACCCCCAGTTCAGGATGCGGCTGTATTTGGAGACGGGGGTCTCTAAAGAGGTAAATCAGTTAAAATGGGGCCACGGCTGGTGTGAGTCAATCCGACTAGTATCGTCCTAAGAGATTAGGACACAGACGACTGTGTGAACACACAGGGACAAGACAGCCATCTGCGAGCCCACGAGGCCCGAGAAGAAACCAGCCCAACGACACCCCCACCTCGGGCTTCTCGCTCCCAGGGCCCCGAGAAGTGCGAGCCCCCATCTGTGGCACTTTGTTGGGGCAGCCGTGGTGACCTCCTACACTGGGGTCCTTACGGTCCAGGCACACACACACCTCAGGACCTTTGCACCTGCTGTTCCCTCTGCCTGGAATGTCCTATCCCCAGAAACCGCCCCCGCAACTTTTGCAAGCCCTATTCCCTGAGAGGCCTTCACTAGTCACCACGGTTCACACCACCAGTTCCCAAAACAGACGACAGCTCTGCCCGAGGGAACCGTTCCATCAGCTCTGACGCGCGCGCACACACTTGTTTCTTCCTGCCGCCGCCGTTCTTCAGCCCTTCCGCCCCCGCTCCCTCCCGCAGTCAGCCGCCGCTCTGACTTGTGGTCCAAGGTCATCCGGTCTATCCTAGAACGTCCCTCGGTGCGGACTTTCCCTTCACTCAGAAACCTGTGCGCCCACTCTGCCCACGAGGGATCCTCCGTGGAGGAACCGCAGAGTCGCCGCCCACAGGCAGACTCACCATCGGGGTGTCCTTTCGCTCCACGCCCATCTGGGCTCTGTCCGCTGTCTCGAGAGTGCCCACGGGACCCGTGTCCTGGAAGGAAGTGTCCCTCCAGCAGTGTCTGCGCCTGGTGGACGCTCACTGAACGTCTGACGGATGCACCAACGCACGGTCGAATGTCCCCCGAGGTGCTGGGGGCGCACGTGGGCACCGGGCTCCCGTGGGCCCCCAGCTCTGCTCAGAGAAGAAAACACCACCACGCGGACCCCTCCCCAGCTGCAGTGGCTGCCCCGCGACCCTGCACCCCACCGGCGACTCGAGCCCCTCCGCTTCCTCGAGTGGATGAACCCGTCAAGCTTCCCGGCGCGTGTGGAGCGAGGGGGAGCCGTAGATGGTAATGCGGTTTTATTTACAACATAACCGCTCCAGCAACATCACCAGATTCTGAAAACACAGAGCAATTTCCAGCCCCTTGGGGGATTTCTAGGACATGATTTCCATAAAAATTAAATATTGATGTAACTCTTCTCTGCTGGCTACCCTGCTCCCCCCCCACCCGGGCTTCAGAGCAAGAAGACGATCGGAGAAGGGGAGGCGGGAGGGGGAAGCCGGGACACAGACGTGGGACTGTTCCCATCGAAGGGGTGGAGGGAACGGAGCGGGGAGACAGGGCCCCACCCGGAAACCGCATCCGGAGCCTGGGCCCGGTGGCCGCCACGGGCACACGCATTCGGCCTGGCGTCGGGTCAGGACGCAGCAAAGGATGGGCCCTTCCGTCCAGGCGTCCACATGCAAAGGCATGGTGGCGGCCAGGGACCAGGGAGGGGACATCTCGGCGGGCCCGTCGGTGTCCGTCCTCCCTGAGCGCTTTTCTTGCGGTTGGTCTCCGGGATTACCAGGCATCACAAAACATGTCAGAGATCAGAACTTCAGAAGGGGAAACAGGCGAGGAAGCAGATGCCGAGCAGCCCAAGACCTCAGACCATGAGGCCCATCGGGGACAGAATCAGCCCGGGGCTCAGCCACACACTGCTCTCAACTCCGTGGACACACACATGAAAACGGGGGGCTTTCAGTGAAATCTGTGCACCAGCACGGAGCTTGCCTTGACTGGTCTCCCACCTCCGTTCACTCTGAGGCCACTGTGGACATTCAGGCCCAGAAGGAAAGTGGGTGCCCGGGGGGTGGCTGCCGGGATGGGGGTGGAGGGTGGGCTTCTGCTCGCAGGTGAGAATCAGGGTGAACCAGAGCCTGGCCACGGAGCCCGTCACCGAGCGTGTGTCTCCCTGCCGTCGGTCTGCAAATTGGGGGCCGTGTGGTCGGAGAGGCAGCCCACGCTCGACCGCAGGAACCCACGGCTTCGGATCGCATCCGCGCGAAGGAGTGAGGATGCCACGGCTCAGGGCCACGAGACTGGCCAGGACCACAAGGCGAGTACACGGTCGCACAGGGACACGCGCCTGGGACACGGACTCTGAAGCCACATTCCACCGTCTTCGGAACGAGGCCAGGTGACTCACTTCTGGAGACGCACCTCAGGTCTCACGAGTGACGTAGGAGACGCACAAATCCCTCCCCTCCCACGTGTGATGACACGAGGAGATGATTACGAACCTGCTCACGGGTCGACCTCACTCACGGGTTGACCTTCGGGAATGTTCGGGGCAGCGTTACTTAGAATGGCAAAGAAAGTAAGGCCTTGCAGCCACGAGGGACACGTGGCATGGACACGGGAACAAACGGAAGGAGAGAGTCCCTTTTTTTTTTTTTTTAAAGCAGGCCCCAGGCCCAGAACAGAGCCCGACACGGGACTTGATCTCACGACCCTAGATCATGACCCGAGCTGAGATCAAGAGTCAGGCGCTCAGCCGACTGAGCCACGCAGGCGCCCTGAGAGATTCAGTTTTTAAGAAACAAATGCCACAAACATGAACTTAGAATAAAAGACCAAAGGATGTGAAATGTTACTGGTCGTTTTCTCCGATGTGGTAACGTCACAGGTGAGTTTTAATTTAATTCTGCATTTTCAAAATTTTCTAAAACAGATATGCGTTACCTTTGTAACCACCCAAACCCCCCCGCAAAAGCTATAAATTTTCTTTAAAGACACACACGGTATAACGTCAACAGGTTTACCACCGAAATTGTGTGAGAACCCCAAAGCTGTGCTGGATCGTCTCCTGTGGACAGGACTGGCTAGCATCTTGGCAAAGGGAAAACTTCCCAACGTCCAGGAAGTTAATTCACAAAACCCAGACCCTTACTGACCCAACCTCGGGCCGAGCCGGGGAGGCAGCGCCCCTCCCCCCGGGGGACAGATTGCACCTGCCGGGATCCAGGTGGGTCTGGGGAGCAGCTGCGGAGCAGGGAAGGAGCCTGGTCAGCACCATGGGAAAAGCCTGAGAAGACCCGTCGTGGGAAATACTAATCCGGGCGATCAGTATTCTATAGGAAGAGCTCATACACCCCAGATGCTGGCAGACCCCTCGTCCTCGCCCTCCGACTCCTGTCAGCATACCCAAGAGCAGGTGCAGGGGGAGCGAAGCTCAGACCGCCTGCGGGATCCCTGCAGAAGCGTCAGGTGCTAGCAGCCCGTTTGCCGACCATGCCGGAGTCCCTCGGCGGCCCCACTGCGGGGCCTGTGCACAAATATCAGGCGGTCAGGCCGTCGAGGCGCTGATGGCGGCCCACGTGTCCTCCTTCCATCTGGCCACACCCTGGAGCTCCCGAACCATCGGAACCAACCGGCAAACAACGGTGGAGACTTTCATATGGGGCCACAAACAAGCCTCCGACGGCGCTTGGAAGCAGGGTGCCGTGAGGCTGCCACGGCCCAGATCGGCCCTCGTGAGGCCCAAGCCGGCCCCGGCCTTGGCTCCATGGTGGGGATTCTGTCAGTGAAGACACCTGCCATGGCCGTGTTGTCTGCTGTGCACCGTGCCTGCGTCCCAGAGCATCTGAGCCTCCGGCCAAATCAGTGCCAGATGAAGCTGCCCCCACAGCCCCGAGGCCCCGGGGCCACCAGCCTTCCTGGGAAGGAGGCACTGGCCCTCCAGAGGGGAACGTATGGCGGACGTCCCGAGTTCACCTCTCCCACCCCCTCGACGTCCAGGGAGGAGAGAGAACCACCCCTGCCGACAGGTCTCTCCGCAGGCCTGGGTCCCCCAGAACTCAGCCTGGACACAATCAGAAAAGACGGGGGCTCCCCATGACTCGGCGTAGGGCACGTGGGCCGGGCCTCGTGGGGCCGAGCCAGCTCAGGGCAGGGGCTGTCCGCGGGGCGGCTGTGCCCGCAGGGGATACCCGCTGTCACATGGAGTGGGGTGCTGCCGCCAGGGGCCGGGCAGAGGTGGGAGTGTGGCTCAGGACGCCGCGAGCCCGCCGGTCAACGGGAAGCTAGAACCAGAAAGCCGAGGACCCCTGAGGCTGTAAACTCTGCGTCCGTAACCCCAGAGCAGAATGCCCGGGGCTGCCCAGGTCACTGGGGAATCCAGCCCAGGACGCTGCTTTGGAGCCACCCTCCCCCCAAAATTCTCAAAGCCGCGTGTCTGCCTCGCACATCTGCAGCAGAGGTATAAAATCCACGTAATCTCTGCCAAGTGCAGTGGGCACACGGACCCTGACCCAGCATCGCCCTGCGATCCAGCGACACAGAACGACCCACCTACCAGGAGGGTCACCGTGGCCTCGCTCGCGAACGAAACACTGAAAACCACGGAAACGCTCCACAGCAGGGGAGGGGTTGCCTAAGCGATAGGACATCCACGCGGCGGAGCCCAAGAACGGGAACGCGCTCTCCGTGTCAGGACAGAGTGGTCCCTGAGACCCACCGACCGTCGGGGAGGAAAAGGAGCTGCCCGCCCCCTCCCCCCATGCCGTCGAGACCGGACGGGCACCTGTTCCTGCTGCTGGGACCTGCACTGGCTCCGGCAGCGTGCGGGGCTCAGAGTGTCCCCCCTGGGAGCACCAGGAGGGTAAGGTGGGTCACCCGGCACGCGGGGCACCTCCAGGTTTGCAGACAGAGGAGGCCTGGTCTGGTGCAGCCGAGCGCCTCGGATTGCGGACGGCGGTGGGCGCTCCCGGGGCTGCTGGGGACGGCAGATGTGCAGAAGTCCCGGGAGGGCCGCGTGGAAGCAGGTGCATGTGGCCTCCAGAGCGCTGCTCCCACGTGGGGAGTGCGGGAACGCAGGCCCTGGATGCCCCAGACACCCCGAAATGCCGGAGACGCAGAGACCCACTCCAAAGGGGGTGATTTAGGGTGGGAAGTGCAGAAAGGCTCTGTCTTGGCCCCGAGGGACGCATCTCGAGTGGCACCAGGGGGGTGCGCTCCTCGGTGTTCCAGAAGCCCGCTCCCTGCAGCTCCGAGCCACCGGCCGGGTCAGAACCAGGGGGCCCGACTGGGTCCAAATCCCGGCTCCCCCATGTGGGGGACGGGTGACCTCGGGCAGCAGGCAGGAGCCTCTCTGCCTCTGTTCCCTCACCTCAAACGTGGCCGCGCGTCCCAGCACCCGCCCGGCACGGCCCTTAGGAGGATGGAGTGAGCTAAGCCTGATGGACAAGGACATTTGTGCCACCACCACCAGGACACTCCTGTCCCAGCCCCACCCGTTACGTGGCCTCGGCTCAGTCCCCAGCATGCGGGAGCAGCCCCGGCCTCAGCCTACCGCCATGGCTGGGGGCCACGTGTAGGGCCACTGGACCCTGCCCCAGACCTCAGTGCTCTGGGGTCCCGTCGTTTACCAGCCCCGTCTGGCCTTGACCGCCGTGTTCCTCCCAGAGCTCCCGAGCCAGGCAGGGACAGCGGCCTGGGTCCCCACCCACTCTGCAGAGTCGCACCCGAGCCCCAGGGAAGCCAAAGGCACACGTGTGACCATGGCCCCTGACGTCGGGTCAGCACCCAGCCCTGTCCCCGGGCTCAGCCGATGACCCGTCCGCTCTCCCCGAGCAAGCAGGTCCCACTAACAAACCCGGTCCACTGAACACCTGACGTTCGTGCCGAGAACTGCCACTGGGGAAGGCGTGATCCTTCCAGGCTCGTGGCCCCGCGGACACCGCCCGGGCCAGCCGGGGGCGCCCACGTGAGCACAGGCCACGCAGCCATGCCGGCACCTGCCCCACGCACCCCTCCAGGCACGAGTCACAGGCGGCCTTACTTTCTGGGAACAAAATCCCGAGCACGCGTCCACCGTCGCATTGGCCTGCGTCAGGGAGTCGGGGAAGGTGTGGGTGCCGTTCTCCGGCAGTCGGAAGCATCCGCGGTACGTGACGGTCCTCCCTGCGGGGACAGATGGGTTTCTGGTGAGAAACAGTGCCCCTGGTTGTTGGTGCCTCTCGTGGGGAAATGGTGGCTTCCACAAAGAGACTCAGCAAACCAGACAGCAGCCCACCCTGGACAGGGTGTGGACAGGCCCGACTCCTGAGACCCCGGGCGCCCGAACCTCCCCACCGTGGTCACCGACAAGGTACCACGTGGCTGCCACGTGCTGACCTCAGGCCGGCTTCCCCCCAAACTCCGGGGCACGGCCTCCGTCCCCCGCTCCGTCCCTCCTTCCCTCTCCCCCCGGCTCCGGGGCACGGCATCCGTCCCCCGCTCCGTCCCTCCTTCCTGTCACAGATCTAGACTGCGCCAGATTCTGCACCAGGCGACCCGAGAGGCTGATATTCTGGAAAATTCTGCATCCCTGCCATGCAGGCGTGAGGAGAACAGCAGATGCAGAAAAGTGAAACCCCTCCACGGCCCCCTCGCTGTGCTGCTGGGTAGACCCGAACTCCCACCGGGCCCCATGAATGCTCCTCGAGCCCGTGCTTCCGCAGGCACCTCCGCCCAGCTCTCCTCTAGCCCAGGAGGAGAAGTCCAGCCCCTCTCCAGCGTCCTGGGTGCTGAGCCCTCTGGAACGTTCTGGCTCCGACAGCTTGCATTCCGTCCGCACTCGTCAGGGTTGCTCAGGCAGCAGTCTTGCTGTCACGCCCTTGCCTGCCTCAGCAGCGCGGAGACCCTGTCCCCAGCCTGCGCCCCGGGAGGCCAGCGCTTTGCAGTCTGGGCACCAGGTGAGCCCGACTAGCCCCCCGCGAGCGGACGGCAGCAGACAGGCACGTGAGGCGCGGCGGGGCCTGCCTTGGACTGGCGGTCCCAGCGGCACCGGCCGCCCCTGTGCTGTGCGTCCGTCAGGGGAGGGGCTGCCATCCTGGGCAGGTGGCCTCCTCGCGCCCAGGGGACAGCCCAGGGCCCCTCGGGGCACACGGTGAAGCGCCCTCGACCGCCCGGCGCCCACCATCTGGGAGCACGTTCACCCGTCTCAGTCCTGCGAGTGCTCCTTGCTGGTGGGAAGCCGAAATCTAAAACGGCGGTCACGTGGTGACCCCGAGACAGAGACCCCGTGGGCTCAGCCCCTGAGGGGGGTGGGCAAAGGTCAGCCGCCAGGAGGGCCAGCCTTACACCTTGTCAACACCAACCGTGAGACCAGGGCCGCCGACCTGAGTCCTGGGGCCTCCTGACCCTGACCGTGCGCGCCTCGAGCCAGTGACGTCTGAGTCAGCAGCTGGGCGCGGAGGAGGGGCCGGGGGCAGCCCCGAGCCCTCCGTGTAGACATCACAGGTCCCAGAGACCAGCCTGGAAGCCCGTGTGGGTGCACGGGTGACAGGACAGCTGAGCAATGTCTCCTCCGCGAGTCCACAGAGCGCACGTTGTCAGGAGCTGTCCTGTCGCCGAGCCGCCCGCGTCCTTGCTCCCAGACGCCCCTGAGCAGCCTCGGTGGCCCGGCCTGAGCACCCACTCCCGCGGGTTCTCGCAGTGGGGCTTCCCGTGGGGCTGCCCGAGCCGTCCCAGCCCTGCTCCGAGCGGGGCACAGTCCTCAGCCGGCGCCCTCCTGCAGCCCGTCACGTAGTCCACAGCTGGGAGGCGCCGTGGCTGGACGCCGGGCGGTCCCACCTCTGCTGCTGCTGGGAGGTCTCCCCGGCTCCGGCTCCGACTTCCTCCCACGCCCAGCCCGGCCGCTCCCCATCATGGCAAGGTGTCCCCGACGCGGGCAGAGGTGCGCCGCCACGGTATTTAGAAAGCAGCCCCCGATAACAGCATCGAGGGGATCCGGGGCACATCGTCTTGCGGTGAGGATGCACCTGAGCTTCAGCTGCAGCTCACTGGACATTTTCAGCGGCAACTCTCGGGGGCGCATTCTTGCTTCCCGGCGCATCAGCTCACTGCCCCTTGCGATCGGCTCCCACCTCCTGCCTTCTATGATTTTGGATCGTGACCTTATCCTCAGTGAGGATTTGTCTGGGGGACCTCCACCCGCCCGAGTTGGGGGCACAGCCCTCAGGAGACCGTGCATCGGCTCCACGCGGCCGGAGCCAGCCGTCACGTCGGGGCGTCAGGACCAGATGGGCAGTAAAACTTTGAGCCTCCAGCCTCACCCAGATGCAGGCCAGCACTGCGAGTTTGGTTTGGTTTGAATCTCAGCTCCAGCTCAGATCAAAACTGACCTATCTTTCTATCTCCCCGAACTGGCAGGTGGTATTTTCTTTGGAACCTAAAAGTTCACGGGTTTGTGCTTCCCCGGAGCCAAACGTCGTCATGTGCAGAGCTCTGGGCCCGACTCCGTCCCTGCCACTGCGGCCCCCGGACCAGCAGCCCCGCTCTGCAGGGGAGGCCCCGGCCGCCGCACCTCCGCCCACTCTGGCCTCTGCACCACGATCTCAGTCCCCCTTTGTTTCCGGGGCCTGGGCTCTCCAAGGGTTTTTCATGTCTGTCCGGAACGTCTAAGCACTGCACGGCCAGGAAACTTTCAGAGCCTCTGGTCGGCCCCACCGTGGCTCGTTCAGAGCTGCCTCTGCACTTGACGAAGAACGGGAGCCCAGAGAGGAGAAGCAAGCTGCCCGGGGCCACACAGCACGTGGGAGACGCGTGGGCCCAGGCCTCCTGATGAGCGAGTCTGTCCCACAGGCCATGAGCCCACGCAGCCTTCGGCCACCCCTGCCCCCACACGAGCCCCTCTAGCAGGGCGACAGGGAAGGGAGGACACACTCACGCTTCCTGGAGCCGAGCTGCAGGTCCTCCACGCGGTAGACGGACAGCCGGCCGACGCCCCCGCACACGGAGCCCTTCTCCCCTTTGCACTCGTGGTTACACGCCTCTGGCCGGACGCTCCTCACCGGCAGCCGGTTCCCGCAGTAGCACTCAGCCCCAGCCTCCAAGCCCGCGTACACATAGGACCTGCAGGGAGAGCCGCCCCGCTGAGTCGCGGCACCGGCCCCACGGCGGCCGCGACCAAGGTCGGGGTCAGGCCAGGAGGCCAGGGACACGCCGTCGGCACACGGCTGGCCGTACGGGCTGGTGTTCAGCCAGACTTCGGGCTCCCCTGGCTGACGTTGGGGAGCAGGCCTCCCTTCATGATAAACTAGAGGCCAGGGCTTTCACGCCCCCGGCTCAGAGGCCTGAAAACCCCCTGGCGCTCCGCATCCTCGTTTGTGGCCACCTGTTGGCCGCGCGGCCCCGACCGTCCCTTACTACCTCCCCGTCTGTTCCCCGAACCGCTGGGAAGGTAAAAGGGGACTGAGTCGGTGCCACTTTCTACTCTGTCTGCACCGCAAGGCTGAGCCGGGACCCCTCCTATCCGTTCTGGCCTCAGTTTCTCCATCTATAAAAGGGGCAGAACAGATCATGACCAAGCTGGAAAGCTTCCTGGAGGAGGTGACATTGAAGCTGAGGCCTCTATTGTAGTCTGAACATAAAGTAAACCGAGGCCCAGGGAAGGAAAACCACGTGCTCACATGGCAGCCAGCCCCCCTGGTTCGGAGCGGCGGGACGGCACGGGGCCCTCACTCACCGCTCAGCACACGCGTCCTGGCAGTGGGACACAGTCATCTTTCTCAAATCGAAGAACACGGTGCCCCTCAGTGTTCTGTCGCGGCCACTGTCGCTGAAGCAGCCGACGTAGGTACCTGCGGGCGGGGAGCACGGTGTAGACTCAGGTCGGCATGGGACGGCCCTGCCACATGCCCATCCTCGGGAGGGCTCCTTGGAGGGCCCGGGCGCCAGGCGAGGTCGCACCTGCCCCTGGCGCTCACTGACGCCTGTCCCCGCACGGCCACCGCTTCCTCTACCAGCCGCACCTCGCTGCGTCTGCGGCCGAATCCCCTCCTGGGACCCCTTGTCTCCATCCCTGCCCGCCCCCCGCTCAGAAAGCGCCCCCCGCCTCCACGAACATCCCGACCGGTGGGTCCTGTCGCCTCCGTAGGATCCAGAGGGAAGAGATCAGTTATGGTAAGTCTGACTTTTGCTAAAAAGAACATCCTGCAGACGGGAAGAGCTATCTCAAGAAAAAAACCTGTGTTTGGGGAGACGTGAGCCGCCATGGCTGGAGGCGTGGCTGGAGGCATGGGCGCGGCGTCTGTCGGGCACCACAGGACTGCTGAGCGCTCGCCCGTCCAGACACCTCTGGGGACGAGACTCCACCAAGCAGGGGCGGTGACGCCCCAGCCGTGACACCTGACCTCTCTGTCCCCCGACACAGAGGGGTCTCCCAGAGATGCGCAGAGAAGGCCAGAGAACACGAGCACAGAGCCAGCACACCGGGGTGCGTGGACGCACCGCCACGTGGCTCAGGAGCTCCCCGGGCCCCACGCCACACGCCGCGCGCCAGGGAAGGGCATCCGCGCAGCACACGCCGCCTCTGGGGGGTGACGCACCCAAGGCGTGCCCACGGCCGGCAGGATGACGCCCCGCCTCCCAGCCCGGCGCCCCCAGGGCAGGCGACGCCCGCGGTGTTCCTGCCAGGATCCCGGCCCAGAGCAGGAGCCCAGGGCTGCCCGCCAAGTGGTTCGGAGAAGTGGGTCCCCAACCTTCATTCCCGGGGCCGCATCTGGGAGCGACAGTCCCGTCTGTGAACAGCACATCTAACCGTGTCTCTGACTTTGGCTACATCGTGGCAACGTTCTGAGCCTCAGTTTCTCTAACCGCCCAGCAGATAAAGGCCCACCACCTGCCCCACCCCGCCGGAGCCCCTTCCCGTTGCCCCCCGCGTGCACCTGTGCCTGCCCCTGCTCACGCTCACCCTCCGCTTCCTGCCCGGCCTGAACGGGCGTCCCCGACCACGCCAGCCCGCCACGGCCCCTCCTTGATGCAGATTCCTGCTTTCTGTATCTGAAAACCTGGTCAACACCCAAATGCTTCTCACTAACCACTGCTGTTGAAAGTCTGCTACACCCGCGTGCCCCTGTGTCCTCGGGGGCCCCACTGGGTCCTGCACGCGGTCAGCACCAGCACGCTGTGCCCCACTGGGTCCCGCACACGGTCAGCACCAGCACGCCGTGCCCGTGGTGGGCCAGGGCCCCCAGGAGCAGGCTGACGCCCTGCAAGGACAGGTCTGGGGAACAGGAGCTCGGACGCAAGGAGGGGCTCCCAGGGTCCCGAGTAACAGACACGGAGCAGTGGGAGGTGAGCGGGTGGCCAGAGACGGGACTCCACCCCCGAGCCGGGGTCACCGAGGCAGAACCCCGGGGCAGCGGGGAGCGACGATCGCCTTTCTCACTGTCTGCCCGCAGGGCCATGAGCCTCCCTGTGCCCGTGGCCCCAGGATGCCCGTCACCGGCCACGTCCACGGGCACCGGCTCTCGCTCAGGCCGCCGGGCCCCGCGGTCACAGAGGGGTCAGGACCCCTGAGACCAGAACCACCCGCCACCAGCAGCAGGAATAAAGGGTTACCCTCAGCCGCCTACTTGGTGAAAGAAAACTAATATTTGAGAAATTTCTGATGTGTTGCTCAGCGAAGAAGAAATTCTGTTACGACTTTCAATTAGGCCCCAAAACACAAGCTTGGGGTGGTTAGACGTTTATCACCGTTGATGGGAAATTAACGGAAAGCATGTAAGGGGTCCACGGCCGGGGCTGGGCGGGGGCACGAATCTGGGCCCGTGCCACCCCCTCCTCACTGTGCCTCGGCTTCCCCACCTGTGAAGTGGGGATGGGCCCTGCAGGCTCGGGAGGGCAGAGAGGGGGGGTAACAGGCGGGCGGTTCGAGGCACACGTGGCCCCCCGCTGGGGGCGACTGTGTTGATGTGAACAACAACCAGGGCGCGGACTCTGCAGGCCCTCACCGCTGAGCCGGCAGCCCCCCTCCTGGCTCCCCGCGAGGCCGTAGCGGGTGAAGTGAGTCAGCAGGTGGGGTCCGAGCGGGAAGCGCTGGGCGCAACCCGGGCTGTCACCACTGTGCTGGGGCGGCCGGGGCCCAACTGGACGCTGGACGGGAAAACGGCAGTGGGGTACCCGGCCCGCGGGCGAGCGAGAGAGGAGCAAACACTTGGGGGCCGCGCCACAGGGCACACACAAGGCCAGGACCCCCGCACCCACTCCGACCGGGGGAGGCGACCAGCCCTTCCTCCTGGAAAATTACTGGGCGGCTCTCCCAGCTTCGAGGGAGCCGAGGGCGTCCAGGGGACACACTGGGACGCATTCTGAGGCGGATTTATTGCTTTCGGCTAAAAGGGAGGCAACGCGTTATTGTCTGTGAGTCCTCATCTGTTCATTTGCACAACACGGACGCACCGTGAGGCTGTTAACGATGGCCGTGGAGACATCAGAATGTCTTTGGAAATCACTATCAATAAAAAACAAACTGGCGCGGGGGAAGTTACTATTTCTCCCCTAGTAAACTTACTGACATTTTATTCCATTATGGATGTCGTCCAAGGTATAATGAAATGCTTGGTGATTGATGGACCTCCTGCAGCTTTGGCGCTCTGCGGGGCCCTTCCAGGAGCATGGCGGGCTGCCCGGCCGCAAAGAGCCACCCTCTTTGTCTGTGACAAGCGTGACCAGCCTGGGGCCAGGGGGCGCCCTGCGGGCCAGTGCCCCTGCTCAGAAGGTGTCCCTCCAGTGGGTGACACCACGGCCTCCCGCAGAGCACAAACGCTTCCCCCAGTCCTGGGGGCCGCGGGGGGCACTGGCCACACAGAGCTGCCATTGTCTACACTGGCCCTGAGGCTCCTCCTCATGCTGGGTCATGGGGAGGGCGCCCTGGGGTTCACGGCGGTCAGTACCCCGACACCCCTCCGGTCCCCAGCACGTCTCACCCCAGTCTCTTCAGTTGCCGCTACACCCCGTCCACCGTGCCACTAGGGGGGACGCCGTGGAGCCCAGGGCTGCCCCCGGGGTTCTGACTGGGTCACCCCAGCCCTCCCTTCTGCTGGCCGGGTCACAACGACCTTCCACCCGAGCCTCAGCACTGCTGTACAGTGACGGTTCCGCCCCAGACTGAGCTCCTCGAGGGCACAGACAATAGCAGACTCAAGCGTGGATCCCCGAGAAGGGCAGATGGAGAGAAATAAAGAGGAACTGACCTTTGGCCAATCTGCCCAAGGTCACAGAACCAGTGACCAGCTATACCAAGAGAGTATTTGGTAGACTTTTTGTTTGCAAAACCTGTACTCTTTCCAAGGCTGCTGCTCGAGGATTCTGTGTTGACTTTGTCAGTCATTCACACTTCAGTCTAAATGAGTCACGTGGGTATAGTGTGCATAGAGACCCAGCTTCCTGGGGTGCTGGGGCGAGTTGACAGAAGGCAGGCCTGTGCAAAGTGCAAACGGCAGAATCCGTTCCTCATGTCCCCCTCTTTCTTAGGTGGGAGCCTCCTGAGGAACCCCGCAGCAAGGGCTCTGACCCATGTGATCTCGGGAGAAACCTCCTTCTGTGAAGACAGGAGGGCACCGTCCTCTGGGCTTCACCAACCATCAGTCACCCCCCCAATGCAAGGGCCGCGGGGGCTCCTCCCTCTTCCTTGGAACTTCTCACCTTCCTGACAAAAAAGGCCTGGCCCTCCTCCTGACCCGCCGCCTCCAGGCTGCACTCCGAGATGTGCGCTCTGCCCTTCCTCCGAGTCCGTCCCCTGCCACGTTCTCTTCCCCAGCTCCCTCCTCGCTCCCTGCCAGCGTCCTGGGGTCACACCCCAGACAGGCCAAGGCTTCCGGGGAACCCAAACCAGGAGAGCGACCTTGACAACTGACTGAACGTCGCCATACCCAGTGTCTCCCCTGTGGGATCGGGATACCAGGAGAGCGGTGACGCCCATAAATATCATTTACAGGTGCACCGTAAACGATGTGGCAGTTAGCTGCCAGTGACCGGGGCCGAGAAACGACCAGGCCCTCCCGCCCAGGGGTCTCTGCCTGCGCGAGCACCAGCATCGCCCGCTGACGGTGTTGTGTAGACGCAGCCCCACCCCGCGTTTGGGGGAGGCCGAGGACCTGCACGTGGGACAGCCTGCCGTCCTGCGGCCCTCAGTGCGGTCCCATCCCATCCCCACGCTAGCCCTGGGGTGGGTATCTCTGTCTTCACTCCCCAGGGGCCTGGGGCCGTTAGGTGACGTGTCCAAGGTCACCGTCAAGCCTGCCACCAAGCCAGGATGCAAGCTGAGGTCCACCCAAACCCAGAGTCTGGGCTCTGGGACGATGGCGCTAGCCCAGCTGGGCGCAAGCAGAACTCTCGCAGAGCAGACAGAGCCGGTGGTCTGGGGGCCACGGGCCTGGGGGCCTCCATCCCAGGCAGGCCCAGGGCCAGAGAAGGGGAAAGCCAGCCCTGCCCTCCAGGCCCGGGCCCCCCAACGCGCAAGGGGAGCCAGGGCTGAGCACCTACCTCGGCTGCTGGCTGCGGGCCTAGGGGCCTCAGGGCCCGGGGCGGGCGGCCCCTGGGTGTCTCCCGCGAGGTGGTGGAACCAGCGGCGACGCCTCAGCGGGGGCAGCTCTGAGTTCCGGCTCCAGAGCCCACGGGGGCCGGGCCGGGGCCGGGCCGGGGGCCTCCGCAGCACATCCACGCCGAGCAGCAGCTCCGGGCTGACGCGGGGGGCCTGCAGCGCCCCACTGTCCAGCAGGCCCACGCCCAGCGCCACGGCGGCCACAGGCAGGGCCTGTAGGGGGCCGGGCGCTCGGGGCCCTGGTGGGAGGGCCACGCGGGCTCGCTGCAGCAGCAGGCTGCCCGTCATCAGGTAGGCGGCCGTGAGGAAGAAGAGCAGGAACTGCGTTCGGAGGAGAAGCTTCTGCAGGCGGAAGAGGGGTTTGGCCATGCCCCCGGGCGGCGGGGCTCCCGGCTGCAGCCTGGGCACGGCTCCTAGCACCCAATGGCGGGGGAGGCCGGGGCCCCCAGCGGCCTCATCCCCGCACCTGGCACCAGCCTGCGTGCCTCCGGGCTCCCCGGTCCTCCCGCCCTGATTCCGGCAGATGCTTGGGTGGCAGCATCACACATCCCCGGCCACAGGGCCCCGTGGCTGTGGGTCCTGCCGTCGCTGAGCTCCACCAACGGGCACGCCCGGCCGGTGAATCTGGAAGAGTGGAGAGAGCATGCTGAGATGCAAGGCCCAGGGGCCCCTGCTTCCCAGAGGGGAGACCTGTGCTGCAGGGAACCCCGACAGACAGCGGGGCTCAGGTCCCAGCTCCGCCCCCGGCTGGCTGTGTGCCCCTGGCGGTCACTGCGCCTCAGCCGCCCGGTCTGCAAAATGGGAATGACGCCCCGTCCCCTTGAGCGGCAGTGAAGGTCCAGGGACAGAGGTGGCTCTGCACGCAGTCGTCACAGGCCAGGCCCTGACATGGTATCCCTTTCGACCCTCAGGGCAGCCCAGCGAGGTGGACGCTGGCCCCATTTTACAGAGGAGGCAAAAGGAAGCAAAGGCACTTTCCCACACCGTTCAGCCGGCACACGGAGGAGCTGAGGTTTGGAAGGGTCTGTTTCGGGGCCTGGGCCCTGAACTAGTAAACGGCCCGGCCAGCAATGAACACCAGCACGTACAAGTGCACCCAGCCCAGGGCACGCGTATGCAGCAGGGGCTCTATGCATGCACACGACCTGCCGACTCCCTCCCGGGGGTGCCTTGGGCCTGGAAGCTGTGATCTGCAAACTGCTTGTGCAGAGGCAGATGGGCTTTAGCCCGGGAGAGGGTGCAGGGCCGCACACCTGCTCACGGAGGCCGGGGTGCCTGGCGGGACGGCGGGCGGCGCTCAGCTCAGCGCAGCCTTCCAGGGCTGCCCTCGGCTCTCCCACTGCGCTGCTAGGGGCTGGCGGGGGCTCTGCAGCTGCCGGGAGCCATGCCGCTGCGTGAGGGTGGCCCTCAGCACAAGGACGGTCTTGTCCCGGGAAGAAAAGCTCCCAGGAGTGTGACTAACGTGGCCCGGGACCCCCGCCAGACCCTGCGGCCCCTCAATGAGTGCTCTGTGTGCGGGTACAGCCAGCCCCGTGTGAGCAGAAAGACAATGTTTGGGCTCTTGTGGCCTGGGCCTGAGATCCTGAGCGGCCCCCAGGCCAGCACCGCCCTTTCCAGCCCCCAGGTCCCAAGGCCACCCCCCACCCCCTCAAAGGACCGGGGCCTGGGATCCGCCGGGGCAGGTCCTGCCAGCCAGGGCGGTGGGGGGGGGGGGGGACAGCTCCACGGTCCGCAGACGGGGCTGGATTTAAAGTCTGAGCTGGGAAGCCACTTGCGCGGGTCTCCGGAGCTCTTACTTTCGCGTTAAGCTGGTGTGCGCCTGGCCCGCCCCAGCCAGCCTCGTCAGATTTGTAACGCCACAGAGGAAATCCCAAGAAATCCTGCCTGATCCCCCTGCCTCCAGCTTTGGGCCTCCAGTCCACCCTCGGCGAGGCCGCCAGGGTGAGCCTCGGAACACACAAATCCAACCACGGTGCTCCCCTGCTCAAAACCCCTTCCAAGAGCTCCCCATGGCTTCGGGGAGTAACTCCAAGTTCCTCCACGGGACACACAAGGCCCCACCCGGGCTCGTCCGTTGCCCAGCCCTTTGCTTGGCCTTTCCCACCACACACACATGCAAGCGTGCACGCACCACGACCCAGCCGGCCACCGGAGCACGCTGCCTTGAGGCCTCTTCTGTCTTGTCCATTCTCATAGCCCAGTGAACCCCTGGGTATCCTCCGAGGCTTAGCCCAGGGGTCACCTCCTCCGAGAAGCCTTCCCTGACCACCCCCAGGCGCGCGCGCACACACACACACACACACGCGCGCACGCACGCGCGCGCGCACACACACAGGAATAGACTCCTCTGCCTTCCTACAGCCGTGCCGACCCCTAACCCAGCACCCAGCACCCTGGGACACCTGTCGTCACCCAGCTACCTGTCGATCATCCACACAGGACTGCGACCAGCTCCAGGCAAGAGGCCATACCCTGCTCGTTCCCGTAACTCCGGCCCCAGCACGAGGCCTGCCCGGCAGTGTGGATGTGCGGCGATCCTGGTTTCTGAATACATTTTTTAGGGTGAAACGAGAGGATAAACTGACTGGCTAATCCTGATATCAGAAAGCTGTTCCTCCCGTGGGGTCTTGGGGCCCCGAGCGCTCAGGTGGCACCAACCCAGACCTGCGGGGCCCCAGCCCGAAATGTGGGGGAGTGCGTGTGGTGGGCGGGGCGCTGTCAGGGCCCATCGGTCAGGGTCCCAGTGATCACGGACCCTACAGTACCCTCCGGAGTCAGCCCCTCCCAGGGGGGCCTCCTGGTCTGGGGAGGGGGCCTGGGCGTGGAGGCAGGGACGGCCACTTCCAGGGTCCTATAAAGCAGGCTGCCACCCTAAACTTCTAAAATCGCAAAGCTGATTCCCAGCCCATAACACCTGTGCGGGGCGGGGTGGGGGGCCGGCACGTCCCCTGCCCCAGACGTCTGCCACCTTTCCTCCCAGCGTCACACCCGCGTGTCACCCCCACCCCTCCTCGAGGCGGGAACCCCCTCCAGGCAAGGCACCGATCGTACCTGACATAGCACCACCTCCCCAGGCCCCACACACAGGCAGCGGCGCCCTGATGCTGGACGTCCGCTGAGGCCTGGGGGCGGCTGGGGGAGGGGCACATCTGCGCCAGAGCTCCCAGCCCAGCCACAGGGTCAGCCCCACGGCACAAGCTGCCAGCGCCCGGGTGCTGTCCAGCCATGGCCGGTCTGCTCAGGCGGGAGCCCACCGGCAGTGCCCGCAGCACCCCAAACCCACGTGGGGAAAGGCATTGCTCAGGACGGAGCCTCAGGCTCCTCATCTGTGAAATGGGGCAATCAGCAAGGCTGTGGGATCGGACCGGGGGAACAGCCCTGCTCCCTACAAAGTGTGGCGCCCGCTGTTACGAATGCTGAGGAGGGGCCCCCGGCAGCCACAGGCGAACTCAGTCTCCAGGGGCCCCTTGCCTCCCTGGGGTGGGCCCGGCACCCCATCCTTGCCTGAAGCCGCCCCCAGGCTGTTCGCAACTTCTTCCCTGTTCAGTGCCCCCTCTACGAAGCACTCCTAGCACAAAGAAGGAGCCAGGCTGGGCCACATTCACCCCCTGCCCTGTCCGGTGACTCCATGCACCCCTCCCCGCAAGAGCTGCGGCCCCTAGAGCCCTGCAGGGTGAGGCGCACTGCCAGTGGTCAGACCGCTGGGGGGGCATGCATGCCCGCGCCCCCTGCTTCGGAGCCCGCCCGGGCCCACAGTGGTACCAGCAGCACACGAGGCGGGACGTCCTCTCGAAAGGCCTTCTGCCTGCCTCCACCAGCACCTGTCTGAGCCCAGGCCAGGTCCGAGCTCCAGGAGGCGGCGCTGCATGTGGCGTGCCCCCACCCAGCGTCCTGGATGCTGTCGTGTGCTATCCCCCTCGGCTGGGAGTCGTTCTTCCCCCGGCCACTCTCCCCGCCACGGCACCTCCCATCTTGTAATCAAGCAACGTGCTCCGGGGACAGGAGAATGAGGAGACACACCGCTCCCTGAGGCTGGGGCCTCATCAGGAGGGGGGGCTGGGGCTCAGCATGGAGCCTCAGGCTGGACAAAGGCGGACACTCGCTGCCCTGCCCAGTGCCGGCAGCACCCCAGAGAAGGCAGGGCCTGGCGGGGGAGGATCCAGAGTCCCCTCCCAGCAAGGAGACAGTAAGGGGCCCAGGGCTTCTGGGGGTCTCGGGAGGGAGCAGGCACCTAGCGCGGGTGGGGGGGCTCAGAAAACCTGAGCACGCTCCTGTTACTTTGTTGCCTCCTGGGCCCCAGGGGGCAGCAGGTGCTGAGCCTGCAGGTGGGGACATGTCAGGCAGATGGCACCTGACGCTCAGCGAGACGGGGGGGGGGGGTCCCAGGGACCGCAGCAGGGAGAGGACAGCAGGCAGCCCCTGGGGCCTGGGGGCTGGAGAAAGAGCTCGGAGGGGCCCAGGCCTGACCCCGGGCCACTGGGGTTCGGTCATGTGACTCTGCCTCCTCCCTCCTCCACCAGAGAGGACAGACAGAGGCAGGCAAGAGAAGAGACTCCAGGTGCCCCCAGAAGCATCTCAGCCCCTGTGGCCACAGCAGTGAGGACCGGGACCCTCGGGGTTCAGAGCCACGTGCTCCTAGTGAGGCAAAAGCCTTGCAGACAAAGGCACAGGGCGCAGCACGCTGCCCACCCCCAGGAAATGGGCAGTGGGGTCCCTGCAGCTCGGAGCTCTGGCCTCCAGGACCGGCCGCTGGGGCAGCGGCCGGCGGGGGGCGGGGTCCTCAGCCTCAGGACCCCCTGGAGGCCGTACTAGGGAGCCTCCAGCTGGGCACGGGGCTCTGAATTAGCCCCCTCTGCCTTCTCCCTCCCCTCCAGCCCTGCCTCTGCCCTGAGTCACTGGACACCGTGCCCTCTCCAAAAGGCTAAGCCTGAGAAAATGACCTTCCCAACACTAAGAACCGGTAACTCTGCCGTTTGCAGGGGCTCCCCTGGACTCAGACAACCGGGCCCAAGCTCCTCAGCCTGACGCTCCGCCTCCCGGCCCCTTGCGGACCGCGTCCCCCCCCCCCCACGCTCTTCTGTTAGCCAGGGGGCCCTGTGACCCCTCGTGTGACTCTGAAATGCTCTGTGGCCATCAAGGCTCTGCTTCAATGCACCTCTTCCATGAAGTCTTCCTGATCCCCCAGAACTCAATGCTGGGACGGGATGCTCCGGGAATGGCGCCTGGGTGATGTGTCCTGCCCGGAGTCAGGGCTCCTCGCTACTCTGCCCACTCTTCCTTCCAGCCCGGGAGCCCCCTGCGGGCACGGACACTCAGTGCCCCGGCCCCACTCTGGGTGGACATGGGACAGACCCGCAGGACATCTGTAC